ACCGCTGGGGGTCCTAGTGAGTCTCCGCCTCCTTGGGGGTGGGGGCGGGACATCCTTGAACCCCTCCTGGCTGGGACAGGACAGAGGCAAGGTAGCAGAGGCCCCTGCCCACCTCCAGAGTCTTCGGGGCTGGGCAGTGGGGTGAGGACCCAGGAAACCTGACCCCCTCTTTTGTCTCTCTGTCCCTCTATCTCTGCCACCAGTCTCTCAGCCCCTCCATCTGCGATATGGTGAGTCCCCTCTGGCCCACACCCCAGCCCCACCACCATGGATGGAAGGGCTCAGAGGGCAGCAGCAATTAGCACCCAGAGTTTAGCCCTGGGGCTGCCCCAAGGCAGACAGCACAGTTCCTGGCCAGCTCACACCCCCTTTGACATCCCCCCCCCACCATCTCCCTAACATCCAGTGTGGCAGCCTGAGCTTCTCCCAACAGCCCAGGGTGGTGGGAGTGGGGGGCAGGATGCCTTTAGGCTCTGCCCACCTTGGTTCATCCAGCAATGGGCCCTAAGCAGCAGTCTGGGTTGGGGGACACAGGTGGGAACCCACATTGTAAGTAGGACTCCTGTGCCCCCGACACAGCACACTGCCCCCAACCACCTCAGTGATCTTGGTCCAAGTTGTTGTGGCACTCTGGACTGGGTCAGGCCAGGTGCCAGGTACCTGGGAGGCCCAGAGAGGCCTTGCAATGTGCCCAGAGTGGCAACGTGCCCAGCTGCTAGGTCTCCCACACCTGGCCCAGGCCCAGGGACAGCAAAGAAAAAATGTCCCACTGGTGTGTCCCACAGAGCTCCAAGCAGCCTGTGTGGGCATCAGTCAGGGGACGGGCCATCCCAAGTCCCACGGAGATACGGGGGTGAGGGAGTTACGATTTCACGAACAGGGAACATTTCTTTCACTTGTAACGTTAGCCTGCAGAGGGCCCACTGCTGTCCTCCCCAGCCCTGCACAGGGGGAGTGGAGTGGGGTGCTTGGCGGGGCTTCCAGGGCTCCACCATGGCAGGAATCCACCATGATTAGTGGGCCCGAGGCCCAGGGAGCAATGAGCAGCCCAGGGGCACCAAGTAGCACAGGTGCATCTAGTCTGCCCTCAAAAAACATATCTGGAACGGCTCCTGGATGCGGGGCGCAGTTTGAGATGCTGGGGCTGGACCGACAAGTAAAAGTGACATCACCCCCTCCCCCGCCCCCAGCACTGCCCTGTGGAGCCTGCTACGGCAGAGCCTGTGTGGGAGGAGGGACCCAATGGTTCACAGGCTGGCCTTGCCTAACCCTGGCATTGCACCTAACCGTTGACAAAGCACGCTGACACACATGACTTGGTGACAAGCCTCCACCCACAGCGTTCTCTAGCCTCTCTCAGTCCCTTGGACAGGATCTGTGTCCATCATCACTCCAGTTGAGGGGGTTGGGTGGGGGTTGGATCTGGGCTCCTGGGTGACTTGATGGGCCCCCTTTCCAGGCCACCCCAGACACACCCCTTCCCATCTCAGCTCTCCCTAGATCCGCTGTGTCCCAAGTGGGACAGGCCCCTGGGCTCCAAGGACCTGGAGGAAGAGGAGGGTCCTTGGGGAGGGAGCTCGGCCCTTCCGCCCACAGACGGCCTCCCGGGCCCCTGGTGCCAACACGTGGGCCTGGACTGCAAGGGCATGTCCGAGGGGGCCGAGGCCCAGGCCTGGACGGCTTTCTACTACAATCTGTTGCAAAGCTGCCTGCAGCAAGCTGGCCTCCCCAAGACCCAGGACTGCAGCCAGGTGCCCCGGACAGGTGCCTGCAGGCTCCCCGGAGGGTGGCACCCCAGGGGGGAGGGAAGTGCTCTCAGGCCAGCTTGCTTCCCATTCCAGGGGGCCCTCTCTCCCACTTTTGATCTATCTGGGACCAGGGCAAGCAAGGCCAGTCACCTCGGGCAGGCTGGCAAGCCGTGTTTCCAAGGACATCTGGCACCAATAAAAGCAGAGCTTGAGGTCCCCCGCCCACCCCAGACGAGCCAGCCCTGGCCTTTGCAAACAGGTTCCCAGGTGCCGAAGCTCTTAGAGAAGGGTCTTGTGAGCAGCCATGGAGGCATCTGAGGAATCGCCCCCCCCCCTCAAGACTCATTCCCTGCTTGCTCTAGCAGGTGGCCACAAAAGTGTAATTGGACAGAGGGAATACTGGCAAAATACATGAGAATCTCATTGGGTCTCATTGTTCAGACTGGGAAACGGGGCCCCCACAAGAGACAGTTGTTCCTTTAAGGTCACATAGAAAGTCAAAGAGCCAGCCCAGGCTAAGACTCAGGTCTCCCATGCTCTCTAGCCCAGCTGCGAAGAGAAGGGAGCCAGGTTTCCGAGTGGGGAGGGCAGGGGCTCCCCATGCCCTGGCAGTGCTTCTCAGGTCCCACGGGAATGTCATCTGACCCCAGGAAGTCCAGGATGAGGACAGGGGGCGAGAGGGACAGGGTGGACAGAAGAGCCCCTGGTGAACTGGTGGCCCTGTTCTCTTCTCCCCAGGCTGCCCTGGGGCAGAAGTCACCCTGTGCATTCTGGGGTCCCCCAGTACCTTCCTGTCTGTGCTGCTGGAGGGAGGGGTCCAGAGCCCCGGTGAGTGTGTGCTGGAGCTCTCCCACCACCTCGTCAGCAAAGGGCAGCGCTGCCCAAAATACCCACTGCCCCTGGCAACGGCCTACATTCCAGTGAACAGCTGCCCCGCCCTGGGTGGGGCTGGGTTCTGAGAACTGCTCCCCGCTAGGCACACTCCTTTGCCGCTGGGTTGAAAATGGAGGGCCCGAGGCATGGGGGTTTCCTGGCCAGCCGCCCGCCTCCCTCTGCCCACAGGAAATATGCTCCTATGCTTGTCCCCTGCCTGGCTGAAGAAGATGCCAGCCCCTGGGCAGGCTGGCGAGGCGGCTCTGCTGGTCTCGAAGGCTGTGAGCTTCCATCCGGGAGGTCTGACGTTCCTGGAGGAATTTGTGCCCCCGCGCCAGGCCACCTACTTTCTGGCAGGCCTGGGGCCGGGGCCTGGCTGGGGTCGTGAGGCGGCGGAACTGGCCCGGGACCTTTCCTGCTCCACAGGCGCTTCCGCAGAGCTGGCTCGGCTGCTGGAGGACCGGCTGCTGGCCAGAACCTTGCTGGCCAGACAGCCGGGTGTGGCTGTGCCAGCTACCCTGGCCTTCACCTACAAGCCACTGGGACTGCTGCAGGGTGGGGAGGGCAGCCCTGGACTGAGGCTGGTGGAGCTAAGTGGCAAAGAGGGCCAGGAGGCCCTGGTGAAGGAGGAAGTGGGGGCGTTTTTGCACTCAGAGGCTCTGGGGGACACCCTGCAGGTAACAGGTCCCTGCCAGTTTTGAGGTCTGGTCAGATGTCCAGAGGATGAGCCTTCCCCCCAGCCCCCTGCCCCCACCCCTCCCGGGATGATGCCCAAGTCCTGCTGAGAAGGTGGTCCCATCTTGCTAGGGCAATGCCTGTCTCAGTTTACCCCTGGCCACTGGGGTATGAGCAGGGAACCCTGGGACGCAGCAGTTAAAGCACTGGGCTTTAACCTCACAGGTTGGCAGTTTGAACTTACCAGGTGCTCCACTAGAGAAAAGGGAGGCTGCCTGCTCCCTAACACTTTACAGCCTTGGGAAGCCCATGGGCCAGTTGTGCTCTGTCCTTTGGGTTGCCCTGTGTCAGCGTCCAGCAGAGGGTGGGTGGACTGTGAGCCCCACCCCCACAAACACACACTGCAAACCCTAGGGTGGTGGCCAGGAGACCTCTCTGCCCCCCGGCTGTAGGTGGCTGTGAAGATCAGTGGCTGGCGCTGGCAAGGGCGGCAGGCCTGGCGTCTCTACCCAAGGTCAGAACTGGGTGCCATCGTGGACTCAGTACTGGTTTTGCTGGAGAAACTGGAGGAAGAGGAGGGCGTGCTGGTGGAGGCAGTGTGCCCACCTCCCAGGCTGCCCAGCACAGGTGAGGGCCGCCAGGGCTAGCCATGGAGAAGGCTGGCCCCACCGACCTCCAGGTTGCGCGGGGCAGGGCTCAGACCTGTCGTCTCCCTGCAGACAGCCCCCTGGCTGGGCCTGAGCTGGCTGTTCGCATCTGTGCCGTGGTATGCTGCACACAGGGGGACAGGCCACTGCTGAGCAAGGTGAGGGAGGCCCTGCCCACCACCTCCCAGCCCACCCAATTCCTGAAAGGGAGGATATCTTGGGGGCTCCTGGTTGCTGGCCTCGGCTAGAGCCCTAAAGCCATGCTCTGCCCAGGTGGTGTGCGCCGTGGGCCGGGGCGACCGGCCGCTGCGGCACCGCAACTCCCTGCCGCGTCCGCTGGAGGTGGCGCTGGCCCAGTGCGGCCTGAGCGAGCCCACACAGGTGGAGGCCCTGCGGCAGCGCATCAAGGCGGCGGCTGAGGAGGCACTGGCCGCCGTGCTGGGTCTGGAGGCCGGCCTTAGCGCCCAGCAGCGCGGGGGGCGCCGGGTCC